GCCATAGGGACAAAATATTATCACCCTGCCATAGGGACAAAATATTATCACCCTGCCATAGGGACAAAATATTATCACCCTGCCATAGGGACAAAATATATCACCCTGCCATAGGGACAAAATATTATCACCTTGCCATAGGGACAAAATATTATCACCCTGCCATATGGACAAAATATTATCACCCTGCATCATCATCTCACTATCAGCACAACAATTTATAAGAGATATGTAGAATAAAATCAAGGCAGTAGCGCATAAAGTCAAGCCCCAGCGAAAATTTACAGACGCGTCAGCTTCTGATTTGGATTACCAGAAACTGGGGCGACTCTAAATTTTGTTAAGGCTTGGCAGTAGCGCATAAAATCAAGGCAATAGCGCATAACATCAAGGCAGTAGCGCATAAAATCAAGGCAGTAGCGCATAAAATCAAGGCAGTAGCGAATAAAATTAAGACATCAGCGCATAAAATCAAGGCAGTACACTGTTAGAAAAAACAGTAATACCGTTACCACTGAAACGCCGGTAATACCGTTAACGGTAATTTTTCTAACAGTGTAGCGCATAAAATCAAGGCAGAAGCGCATAAAATCAAGACAGTAACGCATTAAATCAGGGCAGTAACGCATAAAATCAAGGGAGTAGCGCATAAAATCAAGGCAGAAGCGCATAAAATCAAGACAGTAACGCATAAAATCAGGGCAGTAACGCATAAAATCAAAGGAGTAGCGCATAAAATCAAGGCAGGAGCGCATAACATCAAGGCAGGAGCGCATAAAATCAAGGCAGTAGCGCATAAAATCAGGGCAGGAGCGCATAAAATCAAGGCAGTAGCGCATAAAATCAGGGCAGGAGCGCATAAAATCAAGGCAGGAGCGCATGAAATCAAGGCAGTAGAACATAAAATCAAGGCAGTAGCGCATAAAATCAAGGCAGTAGCGCATAAAATGCATAAAATCAAGGCAGTAGCGTATAAAATGCATGAAATTAAGGCAGTAGCGTATAAATTCAATGCAGTAGCGTATAAAATGCATGAAATTAAGGCAGTAGCGTATAAATTCAAGGCATTAGCGCATCAAATTAAGACATTAGCGTATAAAATCAAGGCAATAGTCACCACTTATACGAGATGAGCAGCAAGGCTGGCACGGTGACGGCGGCCTGCAGGTATCGCCAGTCGCGGATGAAGTAAGCGAGTACCCCCGTCGCCGCCTCGCCCAGGGCGAACGGTACTTCGATCATGATACCTACGAACGTCCGGTACCTGGCGTCGATAAACTCAACCGCTGGGGCAGAAATCAAGTATTGTAATCAAAAAATAATTATAAAATCGATCAACTCTACTACTAGGGCAGAAATCAAGTAGGGCAGAAACTCTGAAGCCGGGGGTAGAAATCAGGTATAGTAATAAAAAATTATTATAAAAATCAATAAAGATAAACTCTATAGCTAGGGCAGAAATAAATTGTGTAATAAAAATATAATTGTAAACTCTGAGAAACTCTACCGCTAGGGCAGAATTCAGGTATTGTAATAATATAATTATCAGAAATAATTATAAAAATCGATAACTTCTACCGCTAGGGCAGAGCAGAAATCAGTTGTGTAATCAAAATATAACTATAAACATTGAGAAACTCTAAAGCCGGGGTAGGAATCAGGTACTGTAATTAAAATATAATTGTAAAAATCAAGAAACTTCACAGCTGGGGAGCAGAAATCAGATTTATACTAAATTATCATATNAGATGTGTATAAGAGACCGACACGGAATTCTAACCGAGAACGTATGTGATCTGGAAGACTCCGACAGCGCCGGAGCCGGTGAAAAAGCGGCCAACCAGAAACACGATGTAGTTGGGGGCCGTGGCCGACACGATGCCACACACACCCAAAATTAAACTGGAAACGGCTAGGCCATTCTGCACAATTAATTATTTAAATTTAATCACAAGCTAAGAAAAAAGTGTATGTCTATTATTCTAATGAAAAAATCTAGGCGTTGAATTATAAGATAAATTGGATGGTACTCTTTCAACATTTGACGGCAAACTAAATTGCACAGATGCCGTCTCTATCTAAACGACGGTAAAACGGCCTGATTTTTTTTACTGGCATGCAGTCAATTTTCTCATATGCAAGGTAGGATCGAACTGTTACAGTTTCAAATTAATATAAAAATTTTTAGATTGTCTCGATAAATTGCATTTAGACGATAATGTTAATGAACACCAGCATACTGAACGCCCTACAGGTGCGACGAAAATCTATGCAATAAAATTTATTTCAAACCCGGGATCGATGCTGCTGGAGGTATAAAGAATACATTGCCAAATTGAAATAGTATGAGCTTACCCGCCGTCCTATCCTGTCGGAAAGGTCGCCCAGGATGAGGGCTCCCAGCAACATCCCCAGCATGTAGGACATTCCAGCAAGGGACCGGTAGAAGGGCGACACGCACCACAGATCAAACTGCGATGAGGGTGTTATAATATTATGACCCTGCCATAGGGACAAAATATTATCACCCTGCCATAGGGACAAAATATTATCACCCTGTATCATCATCTTACTATCAGTGCACCAATTTATGAGAGATACGTAGAAAAAAATAGAGCAAGGCAGTAGCGCATAAAATCAAGACAGTAACGCATAAAATCAAGGGAGTAGCGCATAAAATCAAGACAGTAACGCATAAAATCAAGGTAGTAGCGCACAAAATCAAGGCAGTAGCGCATAAAATCAGGGCAGGAGCGCATAACATCAAGGCAGTAGCGCATAAAATGCATGAAATTAAGGCAGTAGCGTATAAATTCAATGCAGTAGCGTATAAAATGCATGAAATTAAGGCAGTAGCGCATAAAATCAAGGCCGTAGCGCATAAAATCAAGACAGTAACGCATAAAATCAAGGCAGAAGCGCATAAAATTAAGGCAGGAGCACATAACATCAAGGCAGTAGCGCATAAAATCAAGGCAGTAGCGTATAAAATGCATCAAATTAAGCCAGTAACGCATGAAATCAAGGCAATAGTCACCATTTATACGAGATGAGCAGCAAGGCTGGCACGGTGACGGCGGCCTGCAGGTATCGCCAGTCGCGGATGAAGTAAGCGAGTACCCCCGTCGCCGCCTCGCCCAGGGCGAACGGTACTTCGATCATGATACCTACGAACGTCCGGTACCTGGCGTCGATAAACTCAACCGCTGGGGCAGAAATCAAGTATTGTAATCAAAAAATAATTATAAAATCGATCAACTCTACTACTAGGGCAGAAATCAAGTAGGGCAGAAACTCTGAAGCCGGGGGTAGAAATCAGGTATAGTAATAAAAAATTATTATAAAAATCAATAAAGATAAACTCTATAGCTAGGGCAGAAATAAATTGTGTAATAAAAATATAATTGTAAACTCTGAGAAACTCTACCGCTAGGGCAGAATTCAGGTATTGTAATAATATAATTATCAGAAATAATTATAAAAATCGATAACTTCTACCGCTAGGGCAGAGCAGAAATCAGTTGTGTAATCAAAATATAACTATAAACATTGAGAAACTCTAAAGCCGGGGTAGGAATCAGGTACTGTAATTAAAATATAATTGTAAAAATCAAGAAACTTCACAGCTGGGGAGCAGAAATCAGATTTATACTAAATTATCATATAAAAAATTGAATTGATTACCGTTTTTATTAATTAGAAAAATCTTCAACTTGAAGCAAAATTAGATAAACCTTTGGGATATTGAAAGGTACAACTAAAACACAGTAGAAGAGGTAAGTTCTAATCATACCACATCAAATGAGTTAAAATTAATCAAATTTTTAATGGATTCAATAGAGTTACTCGTGTTATGTCACACATTCTGTATGCTTAACGTTGCACTACAACCTTCGGTATTCCAAGAAATAAGAACGACACGGAATTCTAACCGAGAACGTATAATACACAGTAGAAGAGGTTCTATTAATACCACATTAAAATGAGAGTCAAAATTAAACATATTCGATTGCTTCAAAGGAGTTACTCATGTGAAGTCGCACATTCTGTATGCTCAACATTGCAGTTCAACCTTCAGTATTCCAAGCAATAAAAACGACACGGAATTCTAACCGAGAACGTATGTGATCTGGAAGACTCCGACAGCGCCGGAGCCGGTGAAAAAGCGGCCAACCAGAAACACGATGTAGTTGGGGGCCGTGGCCGACACGATGCCACACACACCCAAAATTAAACTGGAAACTGCTAGGCCATTCTGCACGATTGTTTATTTAAATTAAATCACAACCTTAGAACGAATTGCGTGTCTAATGAAAAATTCTAGGTGTGAAATTATCCGATAAAGTGGATGGTACTCTTTCAACCTATAGACGGCAAACTAAATTGCACAGATCGCTCTCGAAATGACGGTAAAACGGCCTGAATTTCTTTACTGGCATGCATTCAATGTTCGCATACGTAGGGTTGGATCAAACTAATAATTTCAAGTTAATATACCAATTTAAATTTTGAAATAGCATGTACTTACCCGCCGTCCTATCCTATCGGAAAGGTCGCCAAGGATGAGGGCTCCCAGCAACATCCCCAGCATGTAGGACATTCCAGCAAGGGACCGGTAGAAGGGCGACACGCACCACAAATCAAACTGCGATGAGGGTGTTATAATATTATGTAATTATATACATAAATGTTTGCATGTATAATATTGAGTAATTATGTATGTATAATTATGTATATATGTGTTATATTTATAATGTACATCATGATGAGTATACTGACACAATCAAGCCAACATATTTTTATAGTGTGACACGCACAGCAGCTGAGTCTTGAATGCATTTTTTTAATATCATGTATTTAACGTTCTTCATCATGCATAAATAAACTGGCACATCCCAGCCAATGACCGGTAGAACAACGACACGCATCACGGCTCAAACTGAGATGAGAGAGTTTTAATTTCATAAATTTAAAGCACATAATTAAATATATAACAGCACACTGCGGACATCACAGCGTCAATTTTCCGATTATTCTCGTCGATGTCACGTAGTTTTTACTTAATACCAACTATTTGAATTACAGAATATCATCCTATTGCTATTTATTCGTAGAAAAATTGAAATCAACAATGGATTACAATCAATAGCAGTTTATAAAAATATTAATATTATATAGAGCACATGTCACATACAGCAAGTATGACATTGGGGACTGAACCATGCATTGCAAATAGCTAATTTGACAAGAATTGCAGCCAAAGAGCGTTTTAATTAAAATTATAAAGCCAATTAGCATCAAATCTACACTTCATTCAAGTCACATCTCCAAAGTATAAAAACGTCTTGAATTTGCAATGCCACTCACGTCTGTGATGATGGAAGACTTAAATAAACTGTCGTCAAAAACATGTCCTGGGCCGCAGGGTTCGGTTACTATATAACCCACGGTTACTATACACGGGTTCGGTTACTATAAACACCCATCACAAGCCACTCACGTCTGTGATGATGGAAGACTTAAATAAACTGTCGTCAAAAACATGGCCTGGGCCGCAGGGTTCTGTTACGGTCCCGAAGTTAGAGGCCTGGCAGCGGTCGGCCGAGTCTATGTCCTGGAACTCGTAGCGCAGGCAGCGGCTCCAGCGTTCTTCGCTCGCCTCGTAGGGGGTCGTGAAGTTCAAGAAGGTTCTGCTGTACGAGGTGTTCAGTAGCGAGGGCTCGCACGCCTCGATTTGGCACCTGCAAATTGGAATTATTTTTAATATAAATATTAAGGAATAATAGCAATCAGAGCTTGAGGAATTCCTTTTAATAAATAATAGGGAATAAGGGCGTAAATGATGGCAATGAGAGCGTGAGATTCGCTAGGGAAGAAATGCTAATTAAATGAAGAATGAATCTTTAACGAATATTTCTCTACGTGGGACTATCATGTGACGTAACAAGTATGCCTAATGCGATGCGGACAAGGAAATTTATCGAGTGAAGTTCGCTAGGAAAGAAATGCTACTTCATAGCCGAACAGAAAATTTACGAATATTACTTTCAATATCAATTCACAATATTAACACTGGATTTATATAGAATAGAGTAGCAATTGAAATCAATATCCAATAAAGTTGGTGTGGCGAGAAGTGCGCTAAATGTTGATGGCTGGACGGCAGCAATGCAAGATTTCAGCCTTCATGAGAAATTCGAGTGCAGAAGTAAAACTACTCGAAAATTAAAATCCTGCATTTTATATTCAGAGTAAATGCATGCATAAGGTGTTTTGCCTGTGATAGTAAGTTTAATAGCGAATGAATTTTAAATTGATATCTATACGTATTTACAATATACTGACTAACTACAATTTTAATTACACAACACGTGGGGAAATATAGTTAACGTTGACTTATTCATTCATCATGTTAACATTAAGGTGCGATTGCGCGTGATGATGCATATGAATCACGCCCAAAGCTGAACTGAAGATGCCCCAGCACGCTGTTCTTGATGTCAATGTAATATAACTCGTCAACAACAGCTCACATCTTCCCTTTGTTTCGAAGACACAGGCATTGCAATTCGTTGATTATTTATTACAATGACAACACTGAAGAGAATAGAATCTATAGGGTCTTAGCTGAATGATTACTCGTACAAACTTCTACCAAAAGAATTTGACGTCAAAATACAGTAAGGAATGTACCGTTCGCAGAATAATGTGATGCATGTTGGTGATATATAACTACTGGACCACATCGTCTGTAACAAAAGTGTTGAATACCATTCATCCTATTTCCTAAATTATTACAAGAATTTGGAGTAGAACGATTCAATTTTATTTCCACACAACCGAGTTGAACGGGGGATGGTTACTAAAGATGCATAGCCATGTCTGTTGCCAATCCTGAAACGCATGTGGCAAGAATATTAGAGTATTTATAAAAATATTAATATTATATAGAGCACATGTCACATACAGCAAGTATGACATTGGGGACTGAACCATGCATTGCAAATAGCTAATTTGACATGCATGAATTGCAACCAAAGCACGTTTTAATTAAAATCATAAAGCCAGTTAGCATCTAACATACAGTTTATTCCACCCACATCTCCAAAGTATACAAACGTCTCGAATCAGCAATGCCACTCACTTCTGTGATGATGGAAGACTTAAATAAACTGTCGTCAAAAACATGTCCTGGGCCGCAGGGTTCGGTTACTATATAACCCACGGTTACTATAAATTTTAAATAAATTATATAATAGGAGTTCATTAAAATTAAAATATAAATTATATTTTATTCGGTTACTATATAACCCACGGTTACTATACACGGGTTCGGTACTATACTACTACTATAAACACCCATCACATGCCACTCACGTCTGTGATGATGGAAGACTTAAATAAACTGTCATCAAAAACATGTCCTGAGCCGCAGGGTTCGGTTACTATAAACACCCATCACAAGCAACTCACATCTGTGATGATGGAAGATTTAAATAAACTGTCGTCAAAAACATGTCCTGAGCCGCAGGGTTCGGTTACTATATAACCCACGGTTACTATACACGGGTTCGGTTACTATAAACACCCATCACAACCACTCACGTCTGTGATGATGGAAGACTTAAATAATCTGTCGTCAAAAACATGTCCTGGGCCGCAGGGTTCTGTTAAGGTCCCAAAGTTAGAAGCTTGGCAGCGGTCGGCCGAGTCTATGTCCTGGAACTCGTAGCGCAGGCAGCGGCTCCAGCGTTCTTCGCTCGCCTCGTAGGGGGTCGTGAAGTTCAAGAAGGTTCTGCTGTACGAGGTGTTCAGTAGCGAGGGCTCGCACGCCTCGATTTGGCACCTGCAAATTGGAATTATTTTTAATATAAATATTAAGGAATAATAGCAATCAGAGCTTGAGGAATTCCTTTTAATAAATAATAGGGAATAAGGGCGTAAATGATGGCAATGAGAGCGTGAGATTCGCTAGGGAAGAAATGCTAATTAAATGAAGAATGAATCTTTAACGAATATTTCTCTACGTGGGACTATCATGTGACGTAACAAGTATGCCTAATGCGATGCGGACAAGGAAATTTATCGAGTGAAGTTCGCTAGGAAAGAAATGCTACTTCATAGCCGAACAGAAAATTTACGAATATTTCTTTCAATATCAATTCACAATATTAACACTGGATTTATATAGAATAGAGTAGCAATTGAAATCAATATCCAATGAAGTCGGTGTGGCGAGAAGTGCGCTANTAATTCACTAACCTGTGATCAGGTTAGGCACCTAATTCACTAACCTGTGATCAGGTTAGGCACCTAATTCACTAACCTGTGATCAGGTTAGGCACCTAATTCACTAACCTGTGATCAGGTTAGGCACCAGGTTCACTAACCTGTGGTCAGGTCAGGCACCTAATTCACTAACCTGTTATCAGGTTAAGCACCTAATTCACTAACCTGTGATCAGGTTACGCACTTAATTCACTAACCTGTGATCAGGTTAGGCACCTAATTCACTAACCTGTGATCAGGTTAGGCACCTAATTCACTAACCTGTGGTCAAGTTAGGCGCCTAATCCACTAACCTGTGACCAGGTTAGGCACCTAATTCACTAACCTGTGGTCAGGTTCGTATGCCAGGAATGTCATGGCAACCACCACCATGGCCGGCATAAAACATCCTATGCAGCTCAGGGAGATGACGTAAAACTGATACCTGAAATACATGAACATGACTGAACATGACTGAACATGACGCGATAAAAGGTCTTAAAAAGAACATTATTCGACACATTACGTGTATAAATGAGATAACATTATTAAACATAAGATGATGATCACAATACGTGAACGTGACTGGACATGACGCGATACATGGTCTTAAAAAAACATTATTTGACTTATCATGACTGCGATATCAGAATATGACGTAAAACTGATACCTGCAATACGTGAACATGACTGAACATGACGCGATACATGGCCTTAAAAAGAACATTATTCGACTTATTATGACTGCGATATCAGGAAGATGACGTAAAACTGATACCTGAAATACGTGAACATGACTGAACATGACGCGATAAAAGGTCTTAAAAAGAACATTATTTGACACATTACGCGTATAAATGAGATAACATTATTAAACATAAGATGATGATCGCAATACGTGAACGTGACTGGACATGACGCGATACATGGTCTTGAAAAGAACATTACTTGATACATTATAAGTGCGATAGCATTATTAAACACAAGATGATGGCCATAAAATTTTTTATCACAAGATGATAACAAGAAAGTTATATTGATATCAAGATATCAATGAGAGCCAGTCGCTTTAAAACCAGTCTAATATGAGGCTGGTTTATGATCTATATTCATGAATTCTATCTCATTTATGCCTGGGGGAAACCAATGTGGAAAGATATTATAGAATGACGATAAAAAAACATCTTATCCTAAGACACGTACATGTTTTATCCTAAGACATGAAAATGTCTTGTCTTAAGACACGCACATATCTTATCCCGAGACACGTAAATGTCTTATCCTAATACACGTACATGTCTTATCGTAAAACACGTACGTGTCTTATCGTAAGACACGTACATGTCTTATCCTAAGACACGTACGTACACATCTAATTTTAAGACACGCACATTTCTTATCCTAACACATTTCTTCATTTACAACATTTTCCGGACACTAGTTTTAACATTTGTACATAACCCAGACTGCCAATATAAATTAATAATAACATTATACATACAAAAGTTCGTATAGTATACACAACAGAAATTTCGATCATGCATGGTTAAGAAAATTGTAAAAGCTGTGCAAGAAAGATAGCTTAGTGTTTTTTTCTGAGAAAGTCTCCTGAGGCATCAGTAAATTAAATAATTTTCTTCAGAAGAATTTTTTAACAGATTTGACTACAAGATTCTTCCATAACTTTAATTTAGATATCGGTATTCGTGTATAATGTATTATATTTACCTGCCAAATGGGCCCAATTCGCTGATAAGCTTCTCCAGTCTTGCCCCTTCGGAGTCATCCATGGCCTCTGCGCAGGTTAACAATTTGAATTTTCAAGTCAAAATCAAAAAGCAAACGAACGTTTAAATTCAAATAAAGATCAAGGCATAGAGTAAAGTAAAGTGAGAGAAGGTAAAAAAATTAAAAAAGTAATAGTCCAATTTGAAAAACAATCACAAATGTAAGAATTGCATCGTAAAGAAAGATTTTGATCGAGGATTTCGTACAACCAACAAATAATTTTTTGTGAATTCAAGTCGACAGATTCGGGAGCGTCGATGATTATATCATCAAAGAAACATATCGAAAGCGAATTTAAAAGGCTTTGATATTATCACGATATTTCATGCGATTTAATCAGATGCGAATCGATTTACCTATAATATAAATCGTCCTTTATTCGTAATTTTTTTCATTACAACTTTTTTAATATTTCCATCCTCAAAAAGAACAAAAAATATGAACAGCGACTCTCTACAGAACAACATGAGTATCAACAAAATATTTTATATGCACAAACACTACATCAATGTATTTTACTGACAAAGTTAATAATAACAATTCATCAGTAAAAAAAGTTTTTTCCTCACCTTTAGCCAGACTCTCCTCGTCTTTCCCCATTTCAGCGCAATGCTGTAGACTTTACGATGGAATTCGCTTAAAACTAAAATAAAAAAATACTGATATATTAGATTGAAAGGAACATTGTTGAAAAAATTAATAAACCTAAGGTACAGAACATTTCTTTAGAAGGGTATACTGGGAACGTTATTTTTTGTGTAATAACCACATTAATTGCAAGGTAAGTTTATAACGGGTGTGTACTAATTACAATTAGTAACTAAAATTTAATGGCCATTTTTATTTTTTCACATACTCTGAAAAGCAATAGTTTCTGTAAAATAAAAAATTGAATTAAAATTTATATGCGGTGAACATTATTATGTTCATTAGTATATTATATATTATTTTTGAATATTATATATTATTCCTTGATATTTTCGCTTTGTAAAATAGAAATAGTTAACTGAAAAATTAGCTCGTCTTTGCTGTAAATATAAAAGTTTCACAGCCAAACAAATACGTACGTAAAACAATCTTAACATACAAACTTTACTGCATTATTGTAAAAAAAAACAATAATGTAATAAGTTAAACGATTAAACTAACCGGAGTATATACTACTAATTTACTATATTTTTTTAAACGCACCCTATACAGAACGAACACCGATTTCTCGAGCCCAGCCAGCTATTTATTAGCTTGGGTAATTTGCCTACGTGAAAATTAAGCGTAGAACAACCGGCTAAATTCATAATATGGATTAACGCGTCGTCATTTTATAATAATTGGAGTTTCGACATGCACCAAAATTCACGAAATACAAAAAAACAGAATGAAAATTTCATCGCGTCGAAAAAAATTAAAGCTCATATTTAAACTATCGAAAAATTTGAACTTATTTTAAAAATAATATAAGAAAAAACTTAACGAGGAATTGGTCCTAGTTAAATTTAATTAAGGAAAATAATTCAATAAATGGATTAATATCACCGGGGTTGGTTATTCATGTAGGTTTTGTACGTATATATTTACCAATTAATGCTAAATTTTAAAAGCTGTTCTCAGGTCCAGGTATTCTAAAAATTACTTTCCCAACACCAATATGTTGGTCCATGATAACAAAGGTACCGACGAAAAAACTGACGCTGACGTAACGTAAAACACGAAAACAAATTGTGTCCATCGATGATGAATTACTGAATTATTGAAGCCGGGGCCTGATTAGACCAATAAAAAAACCGCTCTAAACTTGCTTTAAAATCTCATCATAAACGCTGGCGAAATACGTAGCTCCATTGAACGCACCTGCAAAGATAACAAAGCAAAGCCGCTGATTAATCAGACGAAACACTTGTGTTCGAACAAACGAAGACGTGTTTAGGTTTACCTTTATCGACAAATCAACGTATCTTCGTGTAATGCTGCAAAACTTCTTTACTCAACCGTAAAGAAACGATGCGCAACTTCGAATGACCCCATTAAATAAATTCAAACATATAAAATGTTTACATAAGAATAAAGCCTTACTGTTTGCAGGTCACGCTTACTACATCTCATTAATTCTATTTATCTACTTAATTTATAACAACGAATACAATTTCGTGCATTGATAACCAGAAAGAAATATTAATGGCAAAATTAATCACTTCTCACGATTAATAAACCAATCGCCGGCGTTGCTTCCCAGGGCCTATACTTTCAAAAAAAGTTAAGAGATCGTAAGTTCATCAGCCNCTAACGATCAAATGGCTAAAAATTTGGACGGATCGTAAACGTAATCCGCTTTACAAGTTTCGTAATTTCTACACAAAATAACAAGTCAACAAAATAATCTTACCGCTGTGCCGTGGTTGAGAAAATTTCACTTGTTTTGCATGAGAAAAATTATTTCTTTCCATACGAACTCAATTTTATAAAATATTATGTCATTATCTAACGAGTTAAGTTAGGAGAAATTCTGCATTCTGTAACTGCAAGCTTAACTCATTCTTAGAAGAGATGCCATTCCACAGTCACAGTGATAGGATAGAGGCATAGAGCTTACATTTCTACGAGAGCACCAGTTATGACAAAGAAATCTTAATTTTGAAAATTTTCGTTTGATTTAACTTTCGATTTTTATTTTACCACGGACTGAGCTGACCAAAACTTAAAACGATAACGGTGTTACCCAACGATAACGGTGTTACCCAACGATAACGGTGTTACCCAACGATAACGGTGATACCCAATGATAACGGTGATACCAAAGATAACGGTGATACACAACGATAACGGTGTTACACAACGAAAACGGTGTTCCTCAACGATTACGGTGTTCCTCAACGATTACGGTGTTACACAACGATAACGGTACGTGTTACACAACGATAACGGTAACTTCGGGCGATCAGCGGCCCAGTGGCATCTTCGGATGGTCAGCGGCCTAGCGGCCATGCAGTTCTGGACATTTAGTGGCCCATAGGCCAGCTCCGGGCGACTTACCGTTAGATTGTAAACTATAGTGTAAGCGACATGAATGATAATAATCGTCTTAGCAGGTCATAAAAACATGACTGATTTGAATGTAATAAAATGCATGTCAAGACCGCAGGATCAACACAGGCTTTAATTTTGGTCCCTAATGCACGTGTTGTGGCTTTCAGGACGTCATTTGCGTGCACTGCAATCGCTCGAAAATAATTGAGGCCTTATACAAGAGAATGAAAATTGATGTTACATGGCGGTTCCCTGCACTTGGCAGCCGGCTGCTGGTTCTAACCCACGAGTTAGTTTATTCTGCCATCAAAACATGCAGACATGTTAACTGAATAAGTGAACTGAGGAGGTTTTTTTCCTGCAGGTAGATTGACATAATCTTTCACGATGGCTATAGATAATTTATCATTATTCCAATAGGGTTACCATGGTCGAAAATTCAAGTCGTGGATTTAACTTAAATCAATTTACTTCAATGAAAATCCTTCCTTCCTCTACAAAAGAAGTTCATGAATTTTGAAAATTTAGCATCCAGGCATCAGCAAAAAGAATCAAGATGACCAAACGGACCAAAAGGGCTAACGATCAAATGGCTAAAATTTGGACGGATCGTAAACGTAATCCGCTTTACAAGTTTCGTAATTTCTACACAAAATAACAAGTCAACAAAATAATCTTACCGCTGTGCCGTGTTTGAGAAAATTTCACTTGTTCTGCATGAGAAAAATTATCTTTCCATACGAACTCAATTTTATAAAATATTATGTCATTATCTAACGAGTTAAGTTAGGAGAAATTCTGCATTCTGTAACTGCAAGCTTAACTCATTCTTAGAAGAGATGCCATTCCACAGTCACAGTGATAGGATAGAGGCTGTCTCTTATACACATCTAGATGTGTATAAGAGACAGGGTTAGGCACCTAATTCACTAACTTGTGGTCAGGTTAGGCGCCTAATTCACTAACCTGTGATCAGGTTAGGCACCTAATTCACTAACTTGTNAGGTTGCTGGCCACCAGGGCTCAGGGAGAGTAACGAGGGACAGGCGCTGTGAATCTTGATTAAACAGGAATAATTTATATGACATAAACCCTGTCTCTTATACACATCTAGATGTGTATAAGAGACAGGTTCTTAACCAACGTAGAGTCTGAGTTCTTGAATAACATTAAGGTAGAGTTCTTGAATAATTATAGTGAAGGGAAGGTTCAAGAACATGCAAGGAAGGTTCTTGAACTACGTAAATAAATACTTCTTGTAAATGCCAAGGCCTATACTTTAAAAAAAAATTTAAGAGATCGTAAGTTCATCAGCCAATCATCGACGGCCTTTCAAGCAAAATCCACAAATCATAGACAAGAGAAAAGAGCGTAAATACTTACGTTCACTTAGCGAATTTTGATAGTAAAGATCCAGGTTCTTAACCAACGTGGAGTCTGAGTTCTTGAATAACATTAAGGTAAGGTTCTTTAATAAAAGGTAGGCTGGGTTCAAGGACATACATGGAAGGTTCTTGAACTACGTAACTAGAGAAGTTATTGACAATGCAAGGTTCTTAACCAACGCGAAGTTAAAGGTTTTGAATAACATTAAATTAAGGTTCTTGAACAATAATGAAAGCAAGGTTCTTGCACAACATGTATGAAAGGTTCTTGAACTACGTATCTAAATAGTTCTCGTAAATGCAAGGTTTTTAGTCAACGTGGAATACGAAATTTCGAATAACATTAATTTAAGGTTCTTGAACAATAATGAAAGCAAGGTTCTTAAACAACATACGTATGAAAGGTTCTTGAACTACGTATCTAAATAGTTCTCGTAAATGCAAGGTTTTTAACCAACGTGTCTCTCGAATAACATTAAGGTAAGGTTCTTGCACAACATACGTATGGAGAGTTCTTGGCTAACTTGGTAGCAGAGTTTTTGCTTCACACGACCAGCGGCGACGATGCAAAAACTATCACTGCGTAAGCGTTCATACTTCGATGTTCGTGAGCCAAGCATCCTCAATAGCGCGCTAACCTTCAGACGGCACGCGTGTGATGCGAAGATACAAAATATAGTTTCAATATAGTAATTATACAAAATGTAGTTTCAAAATAGTAATTATACAAAATATAGTTTCATATAGTAATTATACAGTAATATAGTAATTAAACAAAATATAGTTTCAATATAGTAATTATACAAAATATAGTTTCAATATAGTAATTATACAAAATATAGTTTCATATAGTAATTATACAGTAATATAGTAATTATGCGAAATATAGTTTTAATATAGTAATTCATACGAAGAAATTGATTACACCATGAATAGCTTATAGAACGAAACGCTGCATATAAAAACTCATGTCATTAATCTATTAAATCGCAAATCCAACAATTAATTGAAACAAAAATATGCGAAGTACCTTAAAACTATTTTAATTGAAAACGTTTTGGATGCAAGGTCCCAGTGAACGTTTTCGTGTCTCTGTGATGCCAGGTCCCAATAATTTTAGTCACTTGTTTGAACTACGGGGTAGAAATTCAAGTTCATTACGTAGCTCAATGATCAATAAATAATTTATAGAGAACATCTTGGTTTAGATCCTATTGCCAGGTAACTGACCAGACTACCTAATAATCCACATTTGAAGTTTGAATTATTTATCGCGCTTCACATTAAATTTATCTGCCGTGTTGGTCAAATAATCTATCAGTTCTACTCCAAGGCTAAGAGGACTGTCTAGAATTGGGCATCTCAACAACGCTTCCGAATCTTTCAATAACCTGTGACTGCTCCTGTCTGCGTAGACACTTTTAGGGGTACACATCTCGTTCATCCCCACGTATTGCG